TATATTGATATATAAAACATACTGTATCAATATAAAAAATACCTGATCCGATATTGTAGCGCACCCACAAAAATTGACCTACAAACTAGTGTTTTGACCCGGGTGGGTGGGTAACCCGAGTTGAGATATCGCCACCCGGGTGAAGACGGGTGGGTCAACCCGCAGGTCACCCGTAGACCAACTTACGGGTGACCCGTGGAGAAACTGAGGCTGTAGACAGTTGGCGAATGTAAAATACAAGCAAGGTCGAGAGTTTCGGGAATGGATTTTTTTTTTTTGATGCGTGTACTACTCGGTAGCTTTTTTATATGACTCGCCGGGTGACCCGGGTGGATGACATTTTTCATCTGTTCCAATTTCCACCCGGGTGATAGAATCAATTTGGTAACGGTTACGGCGTGTGCCGTATAATGCCACAATAATGCCGTTATGCTGTTATATTGAAATACCATAATGTTGTTGTATCTAAATATTATAATGCTATTGCAGTACTGTGTTAAAATACTGCCCAAGGTTATTTCTTGCAGCTGGGAGACTTGTAGCAAATATTGTATCCTGTGTATGTGGCTTTATTTATTAAATGAATATCGTTATCGATATATATTGGGTTGACTATACTAACTCAGCTACGTTGCATTCAAATGATACATAGTACTTATGCAATGCAATGATAAACATATACGAGTAGGTTTATTTTAAAATGTATTCTTTTATATTCGCCCATGCGAATAAGATGAATTAAGATACAATTTAATGTACAATAAATATTCATAAATCTGAATATCTTACTAGTTTGAATTTTGGTTAGATATTCATCGTTTAAAGTTCAATGAAGATTTCTTAGTAAATAACTACATAATTAAATTCGATAAAAATTTTGACTTTTACTAAAACGCGCCTATGGTGTTTTACATTTATGCATATATAGGCTGCCGTCAATAGAAATCAAGCAGATTAACATTTTAAAAAAACTCAATCCCTTAACTTTCACAACTTATATCTCAATAAATTTTGAGGCTTTCTTGATAAATTAATATTCAAAATCCTAAGCTTTTTTTTGAATACTAATTTATCAAGATAATCTCAAAATTTATCGAGATATAAGTTGTGAAAGTTAAGGGATTAATTTTTTAAAAAATGTTAATCTGCTCTATTGGCGGCAGCCCATATTATCTCAAATTAATCAGTGCAAGATGTCCTAAGTAAAAATGCTCTACGCCCCTAAAAACCCTTCCCAAATTCTAACCCTAACACTGAATACTAACACTAACACTAATACGAAAATTTTGTGTTGAAAATTTTTATATTCAAAAAAAGAAAAATCTAAAAACAATAAAACATGATAGATGCAAAACCACCATAAGTGCTAAAAATGATTTTTTTTTTTATTTTAATTCTCTGTCAATAAAATTAAATAAAAATTTTCATCAAATTTAGTTAGATATTCGTTGAGAATTAAAGTTGAAAAAAGAAATTTTACTAGTTTTTTGCTTTTTTTTTCAAAGATTTTTAACCTTTTTTTCAAACTTTAAACGACGTTTTCTCAACGACTATCTAACTAAATTCGATAAAAAAAAATTTATTTTAATTATATTAACTTATAGAATTAAAATAAATAAAAAAATCCACTAAATTTAGTTAAGTATTCATCGAGAAATATTGGCTTAAAGTTTGTTTTTTTTTTAAAAAAAAAAAAAGGATTGACCATCCTGTATGATTAGTGCGACATAAAAAATATTTATAGCAGCTAGTGATTTTTGATTCCTCATCCACATTAAAATTTTACTAATAAAACCAAGGTTCTAAGCCCAAACCTAACGCCTAACCTTGACGCTAACTCTAATTAAGGGGTAAATTATTCACCCGGGTGACAAATTATAAAAAGCACAACCAAAAATTTGCACACGTGAGCTACCAATCAAATAGCTTGATAGGCAAAATGTAGCTTGAGTATATTTTTGTAATAACGATAACCTTCCAATTTCTAGTATGCAAAACTATCCTAGGAGATACCCAATTCCGCCTATGCAGGCAAATGTGAACAATATAAACCCTTACGTACGACCGTTAGCGGGCATGTCACCGATGGCAGCGACTCCTCCCATGCCGTCATCAATGCATACGCCTATTCAGTCACCCTTACCCATTGGTCCCGCTACAAATCAAATTCCGATAGTAGCCAACTCATATCTTCAGTTTCAAGCTCGAGCTGGAATTGGAACTCAACGTATAAATCAAGGAATGTCCACGCCAACTTCAGTGAAGGCTAACAATAGACGTACCAAGGGTGCAAAGGTATTAAATTAGTCGTTTACCATCAATATGTGAAGAATTTATAATTCAATTATTATTTCAACAGAATAAGACATCAATGATTTCCATGGCTGATGCAGTTGTTGATGAAGCAGATGAGCCTTCTGGAGGTAATTTTATTAAGGTTCCATTTTTTTTTTACTTAAGATTTTTAATCTAAATGTATTAATATTAGATGAGCTTGACAACCTAAAATTCCGGGAAGTTTCCATGGCACGATTCAAAAGATGCCATGAGTATATAGCTGAAATTTTCTCCCCTTACAGCATTAGTATGTTAAAAAAAAATTATTTAGCATGATTTTTTACAAATACCATAAAGTGCTGACTGATGTATCCGGGTACTTACAAAGACTGGATATGTACCCGGCGTACATTTTTCGCTCAACTTTACCAGTCTTCAATGTTTTACGCCAATTAGATATCTCCAAAGCATTCTCCGAGATATAATTTGTATAGTATCCGGATCTAAATCAAAATTTAATCCACGAATTATTCCAGATCTACAAGTCAGCACTTTACGGTAATACAAATGATGTTTATTGAATTCAGTAACTTTTAAATTTAAAGGCTCGATAATACCGCCGGAATCACCATACCAATCAAAAAATGTTGAAGAATTAAAAAAACAACTTGTTAGCAACGTTTTTTTAATTATTCTTTTGTTTTATAAAATTATGATAATTTAAGCTCACCTGTAACACCATATTTAGGCTGAAACTCAAGCTGAGTTTGAAAAGATGACTAGTGAACATGCCGAAAAGATGAAGAGTTTTACATTACGTACAGAAGCTTTGTCCAAAAGCATGCAGGAGATCAAAAAATGTAACGGTTCAGAGGTTAGTCTATAGATTGTAACTTATAAATTTAGTATTAAATAATCCATTTACTTATTTCTTTTTACTAATAAAAAGGAATTAATGAAAATACAAGAAAAGATAGAAAAGGATTCTGATTTTATTATTGAGCCATTCGATCATGTGACATTGGTTCAAATACACAACGCACCAGATTCAGAAACGGATGAGAATGACCAACAAGATATGATGCATGATGATGATGATTTGGATGAAATAGATGAAGGGATAGATGAAGAACTACAAACATTTTTTTTGAATTATGAAATTACTACATAGTTTGGACTTTAGAATCGGGATCTCTACTTCGTTTGGGGTAATAACTAAAACCCAAACATACGTCCTTTTCGGTCAATGGTTTAAAGCTCAAAATAATCAAAAATTCGTTAAATCAGTTCTGTAAATTATGAAAACTTTACTATTTTCATTTTCATATTAGAAAGTTAAGAACCTAAGAGAGATTTAGCGACTAGAAAGGATGTTGAATAAAAGTGGTCTATTAGGTCTAATAGTTATATCGATATGAACACAATAAGTGAAAATAATTATAAAAGTGAGAGCTTTTCATATCTGAAAAAAAACTTCAAATTATAAATAATAAACTTTTCGACAAAGTTTCCTTAAAAATCGATATCTTTGTTGATTGACCCGTAATTGCTTGATTGATAAATAAGTTATTCATGACGCATCTAGAGTCATTAGGGTGTGCGATATTAAACATATGTGAAAGTCATTATATAATGATCTTCGTTATGTTTGGGATATCGCATACCCTACAGAACCATGTTCCAATTCCCAGTTCGAACCACAATCGGAGAGCTATTGAACTTAGAAGATCAATTGGTAAACCCAACTCCATCGACAGAATAATTGGACAACAGATCTAGAAGGGTCATTAGTAGGAACTAATATGAAATAGTAAACAGTAGTAATAACATTGAAGGAATGGGCAGTGCTATTGATAGCAATGAAAATCAAAAAAAAAAAAAAAAATCAGTTGTGGTTATCATTTAAGGTTGATTTGCTAGTAATCGAGATGCTGCTCAATTATTTCAATTGCTAAATTTTGGGACAAAGTTGCGGGTGTCCAGGTATATCCAAAAATCCAGATATGGCGGTCACCGTCTACGAGTAATGCTTTTTAGTACGAACCTACTTAACGTGGTTGGTTTTTTTATAAGTTCTAAGACGAAAATAAAATGGAATGCTTAAAAATTTTCGTGTTAAGTAATTATTATTGGCCATCTGGCTTTTATTCGGATTATATCCGTGAGCTTTATTATTTACTTAACAAACATTATATATCGTACATTTTTCTTCCTGGACTTTTTACCAACAAATTTAACGACTATATAACCAAATACATCTAAGAATTCTTATTTTCCACCCTGGAATGCATCTACAATCCATTCTTTAATCACATTAATTTCACCTTCCTTGACAGAACATTTTTCAAATACAACTTCATTTTCCAGATGCTCAAACTTAAAATCTTCTGATTCGTAACCTAAAAATTCTACATCCTCTACAGAATCTTGATGATCTAATCCAGCTGTGCGAGTTACTCGTAGACGGTTTCTTTGTTTCGAGAAAAATAAAATAAAAATTAGTATTATTATTTTTTAAATTCAATAATAGACATCTAATACATACATTTCATTTTCTAATATTGTTCGTATACGTTCAGGTGGTAAAGCTGTAATCATGTCACTCATATTACATGCGATTAGCATAGGAATGTTTTTTACTTTTTTATGTGAGAATATGTCATAGAGATACCTGAGCGTTTTTTTTTCGAAAAAAAAAATCATGTAAATAAATAAGGCAATAGATCATTAAATATTTATTTGTCCAGCGCGAATAAAATAACTCACTCTGCAATTTGCCTTGAATTTTTTGCACAAGTTGAACTATCGATAACAAATATAATTCCACGCGTAATAGGTATAAAGTCTGAAAATTTGAACCGTAATTTTTCATGTCCTGGTACATCAACTACATGAGTTGGGTTTTTTGTTAATGGTGTACCCTATATGTTTAAAAGAAGAAATCCGCAAATTGAAAATGTTAAGCTGACAAAAAATTAAATCGACGAAATAATGGATTAATTTTATACATTATCGTTTATTATAAATTGGCCTTCATTTTCTTTCATAGATGTGTGAGTTTGCACGTTCACCGAAGACCCGTGTCGTAACTAACATGAATTAACATGATAAAAAATGCTTTATCTCAATAAAAGTCAAACATGAAAAAGTTACGTACCTTAAGAAATAATAAAGTTTTACCCGAATCAGATAAACCTAGTAAGAGAAATGTGTCTTTCTTTGTTCGATTTCCAAGAAAATTCAAGGCAGCTTTCGATTTTAAGTACGAATCATTAATGACGAAAATAATGTTAGATGCACGAATAGAAAATTTGGAAAAGGTTATCGCCTTATAGTCGCAGTTTTTGAATTTCACGGTATGAACATTATGAGCCTATTATAATAATATTCGCTATATTCCATTCTCTAGTGATCAAGCTGCAATATTGAAAACATCGTAGAATGAATTTCGTAGAATTACTTACCGATAGCAATTGCGATAACCAATAACGCGAATACTGTCCATGTAAGCGTGGACATATCCATTTTTATTTGCGGTGAAAAATTATCGAAATTTAATTTATATAACAGTTTAACGACGTGCATTTAGAGAACAATAAGGAAAAGTGCATTTATGGAGTAGAATTTGAGCGTGCATTTAGAGAGGATGTGCACTTTAAAGGACGCTTTTACTATTATGGAGGTTTTGTGAAATGGGACGCGAATGATTGGTTTCTGGATTGGCCAATCATCTATCAATAAAAAAAGGTATAAATTAATGCAAATTTCGCTAGTAAACTTTACACAAACCACAAAATGTCAAACATTGTTCAACCTCTTTGCGTTCCTTCTTCGTATAAAGATCAACAGTATCAGGTATGTACATCAGACAAAAAATTTTTTCGACTTTTTAATAATTTAATGCCTTCAAACTTAAAAGGGTACATCAACAGATCTTGCCAAAGATCTTTCCAATAGTACCACCCTTTATGTAGGAAACTTGTCGTTCTATACAACCGAAGAACAAATATATGAATTATTTTCAAAAGTTGGTGAAATAAAAAGAATTATCATGGGATTGGATAAATTTCAAAAAACCCCTTGTGGGTTTTGTTTTGTTGAGTAAGTTTATATTTCTTAATTTTTTTTTTTTTTCGCGTTTCAATAATAGCTTATATTGCAACAATTATAAGATATTATCACCATCAAGATGCATTGGATTGTATGAAATATATAAACAGCACAAAACTAGATGAGCGAATCATCAGAACTGATTTAGATCCTGGCTATAGAGAAGGAAGACAATTTGGAAGGGGAAGGTCCGGTGGGCAGGTATGCTGCACGGACTTTTGGTTATGGTTTTCTGTTATTAGGTACCCTTAATGATCTAAAAATGTGCCTATTCTATTCTTTTCCTTTGATAGGTTCGTGACGAATATCGTCAAGATTATGATACGGGCCGTGGTGGATGGGGTCACGTTCGTGCGCGACAAGAGGCTGAAAGAGCGAGACGCCAGAAAGAAGAATATGAAGCTATTACTACAATTCCCGTTGGTGCTGGAGAGTATAAAGGCAAATGTAAATAAATAACCTTTTACTTTAAATATTTTTTTATTTTTTTTTTTATTGCTGCATTAACTTATCATCACCTTCAGCAACAATCACAAAGAAACATTCTAGAAATGAAGATGACGAGGATATTTCCGAACTTTATGGTGTTCAAGAGAAGGTCAAGGTATTTATTTGCATTTTCTGAATATTTACAATATTTTACAAAATTTATGAAATGATTTCTATAAATCTTTTATTTTCAATAAAGAACCCTCGATTTAGAGAAGGCAGATCAGACGATGAAGATGAAATGCAGACTGACGCATGATCTTTATATCAGCGATTCTGGCCAATAATGAAAAAAATCATCTAAGCTAATTTCAACTTAGCCGTCGATTTTCTTTTCAAAATCGGTTGATCGATTTCCTATGATAATAATTCACGCTTTTAATCATTATAAAAAATAGCCTTTTTTGTATATATATTGGGTCATGCTTTTTCGTGAAACAACAATATACTTTATACCGTTAGAGATATAGTGTATAAGCAATGTACTTAAATCAAGAATTTAGATCAATGGGAACGATACAATATTTAGTTAAGGCTTCGAATTAGTGCTATAACCATAAACGATATAATACAGTGTTATTAGCAGAAATGTGAGCAACAAAGTTTTTTAATAAATGATCAGATTTTCACACAAGGATAAAGCCATTTTTGCATAAAATTTTAATATCTACGATACACTTGCAGCAGCATCGTGCGTGAGCGATTATACTATTGAGACCGTATACATTAAACTGGCCAAATAATAGTTATATGTAAATATTTAGATGAAAATTAATAGATATAAGGGCAGTGAAAGTATTATGTAATATCTTGGAGGTATCTTATGTTAGGTATTGTATAAATTTATAACAAGTTAATCAAATTTCCCTTATGTGGGAGGAGGAGAGGAAAAGAGAACATAATAAAAAATATTTTATAATATTTGTTACTACCCAAAATTTGTGTAATTTATTTATGTTCTATTATACTAGAATTCGATTCGTATGATTAGTTGGCAACTTGATCAACTTTTTATAAAAATTTAAAAAATTTTACTCAGATAGTAAATACTGTATAGTCAAAAAATTTTTCAAAACTTTGCTGAATTTGAACCGGCCGGGTTATGATTAAGTTTGTATGGCCTAAATTTATTTAATTATTTTATTATAAACTAAATTTATTCTTTTTTTCTATTTTAAAAAAATTTTTTTTTGTTTTTTTTTTATTTTTATTTTTTTGAATACTAATTTATTTATACTATATATTAAATTTTAATGTCTATCTGAAATAAAATAAATCTAATTGGTCAGTTACAGGGATAGTTATAAAAAACTTATAACTAAAATAATAAATTTTTTTTTTAATATTTAAGGTGAGATCTTGCTCTTATAAATAATAAATTATTTAAAATACAAAACAAAAAATAATATTATTAAAAAAAGATTTTTATATCATTTATATAACTACTTATATAAATTACTTAATAAAGATATAAGCAAGACCCCACCTTAATATCAAAAAAAAAAAGATTTTTTAAAATTTCAAATAACTTTAACAATATGATAATATCTTTATGATTTCCAAAATTTGAGATAAAAAAATTTTTTTTAGTGATCTTTTGAGTCTAGAGAACTTTTTATTAGAGTATAAATGACATTTTATATTGCAATTACAATGATAGTACATCAAGCTATATATGCACTTTTGGTGTCTAATTTAAGTAGTCTACCCAAAGCATTAGTGCTATATAAGAGTTTCACACTATCTGCTGTATTGCACCCAACTATGGGGTTACTCATTTAAACCATCTGGTTAAAAATTTTTTTTTTATTACTATAAGTAGAGGTTGAATTCATGAATATTCACGATTAAAAATGAATATTCATTGAATATTCAATATTTGGTTACACAAAACTTATACAGTGCGGGCATTTTAAACCAACAACTTTTATTAAAAGTGGCCAAATTTAAGACATAATACTAACTTCTGATTGGCTATACTTTAAAATTTTATTATTTTTTAAAATTATATTATTATTATTATTTTTTTTTGGCAATCCTGTCTTTATTGTATAAGAAATACGTAATCAATACATAAGTTCCTAGCTAATGCCAACAACCTTTCCTTCTCTTCAATAAAAGCTCACCTAGCTGCTCTGAAATGCCTAGATATAATTTGCTACAGCAACTATTTTTCTTTCTTCTGGCTTTCAACTTGATAAAAGATTACCTGCTACATATATATAAAAACATAATATAATTTTAAAAAATATAATATAATTTCAAACAACAAACTCTTTCTGATCACTTGGACCAAATTTTCTGACGAAAAGAAAAGCCTATTTTCAATACTGGAGAGTAGTAACCTGTAGTGAGATGAATCAACAGAGCGGTTTTTATAAAGGTTAACCTTTTTACTATCTGGGGAACTCCTTTATATATTCGACATGCAAGCCAAAAGTGTCTGTATACAAGATAACTGGCAAAAGATGGTGCTTTTATATACGAAATTTTGGTGGATAGGTGGAGGTGATAGAAGTCTAAGCCTACTATCAACAAAGCTATTAGTTGCGAAACAACTGAGGTACAGTAAAGAACAGGCTTCTTTTAAGCCGCACTCATTTTTATTGACCAAGTGGTACCTACTATCCTTTTTTCACTTCTCTGCCTTTCTTCCAAAATTTTTCGACAAAAAGTGGAGATTTGGCTTATTCCCTCCAAAAGATCGGCATTGTTTACTTCCCAAATTTGGACAGACTAGTAGATTGCAACCACGTGTTTGTTTACCAATAGATATGGGGCTACTGCATGGGACTCAGCCCGGGAACTCTAATTATGGCGGAAGGGAGCCTTGATATAGGTCCTCGGACAACGGAGCCATCTGAATTCGGTGGGAAGGTCGGAAAGAAAATTTTAATGCCAAGACGGAGCTTTACCTTTACAAAAGAGATATACAAATATTGCATTTGTTATATAATTTTTACCAACCTTGCATGGGTTATAATAGTGCCTTTAGGGTCTTAGTTTTCTTTTCATGTTTTTTCTTTTTCAAAATCTGTGTTTATTTTTTCTTTTTGTTTGTTTGTTTTTTTTTTTAGTTATTTTTGTATTTGTTTTTTGATTTAAACTTTTCCCCCTTTTGTCTCGTGCTCTTTGAGAAGAAGGAAGAATTAGAAGGAAAAAGAGGTCCTGAGGTGGGAGCTGAGCCCCAGCTATATTATATCTTTAAATACAGCACACCATATGTGGGGTATAGTAGCCAATATCAGTGCAATAATCAAGGTTGGGCATCTTTAAGAGACAGCTAGCTTTTAGTCTAATTCCCTATTAAGTAGCTTGGTCCTGTATTAAGCATTATACATTTAATAAAATTTTAGTATGTGGTTATCAAAGGAAAAAAAAAATAAAATAAAATAAAATTTAAATTGCTAATTCTTTTTTAAAAAAAATAGTAAATAAAAAATACTATTTTAAAATATTAACTCAAAACAAGCTTAATACTTTCAAGTTCTTTTTTTTTTTTTGAAAAGTATTTGAAAACTAGAGTTTATTGATATTTAGATAAACCTTTTACAAATTGTGTTTATAATAAGAATATAACTAGCTATTATACTTTTTAGTATTATATATACTAGATATTTATATTTGCAACCCAAACTAGAATTATTTAGTATCTTTATATTTAGCACTATTATTAACTTTATCTATAATTAGTAATTTTTCAGTTATATCTTTGGTCTTATATAAAGTAGATATTAGTAGCTTGATACTTATTTTAATCTTTTTGTGTTTTATATATTTTTAAATCAGATATCAGAAATATTATATCATAGTTTGATTTATATACTATATATATACTTTAAATATCTAATTTAAGTAGTCTATCTAAAGGTTTTATACTATCTGATATCTATAATCTAACTATAAAAATACTTATTTAAACTCTTTAATCATAATCTAATTCCAAGCCAATAAGGACTTTTAATCTAAAGTATTATTCAATATTCTAAGTGTAATTTGTATTTACAAGCCAATAAAGACTTTTAATCCAAAGTAATTACTCAATATTCTAAGTATAATTTGCATTTACTATATTAGTATTAGCACTTTACTTTACTAACTATTATGGCATTTTTATTCTCAAAATAAACCTAACAGAGTAGTATATGTTCTATACATGTATTTATTTGCATGTTTGAAAACTTCTTTCCAACTAGTATATGTAGTGCTGCTGTACTATATTTGTATTTTATATTATCCTTTGTGATGCTGCTATTTTATGATTACTTAAGCTACTATCTTTCTAATTATGTGTATATTATCTACTTCTTGCTCTTATTAGTTTGAAATTATACAAACCTTGATACTTACTTCATATCCATTTTTCTTGTTTTGAATTTCTGATTTTCTTAGACTACCAATTCAGTTGGTTTAGCAGAATTGGCCTGCCTAGACTTTAAATACTTAATAAACTATTTTTTTTTTGGTACATGCTTTTAGAGCATATATTTTTTTTCTCCAGTGTAATTCTAGCAGCCAGGTTGGTAGATTCTTCTATTGTAGAATCATAATGTTTAAATATTTATAATTAATTAATATTGGTTCAATATAATATACTGTATTATAATATTTTATTAGCTTTAATTTAATTATAAGTATAATAATCATTTGTTAATTGTATATATAGAGCTTAATTGTTTTGTAACACTTTTTTATTTGCTTTAATTTAGTTATTATACTATATAGAGTTAGTATTAAAACTTTCTAATAGTTTAAAACCAACTAAACTAACTATATTAAGACTAGCTCTTTGATTGCTGCCAAATCAGAAAATTTTTTAAGACACAATTAAAGAATCCAATTTATAATAGCCACCCACTAAATAACACAAGCCTCCCTATTTTTTTTTATTATATTAATGGGATAAAGATAAATGAGCAAAAGTTATTGGCATTAACAGATTGGGGCAAGGAGAAAAACTTAGATATAATAGGTATTGCAGAAACTAATATAGGTGAAAAAAAAGGAAAATAGATAATGTTTTTGGCAAATTTCTTAATAATTTTGAGAACAAGAATTTAAAAATACTTTCCAATAACTATGGATAGACTTAGGATCTTATAATAGAAGCTGCAAAGCACTATAAATTTGAAGATGGCTATGCAAAAACCTTTCAGAAATAGGCTGTCACAAAAATTGGCGCCTATAATCCTCCAACAATATTAGAGGAAGCGTATGTATAATGGAGTAGTTATAACTAGAGTATCAAGGCACCACATTGCCTATCAATTGTTCCTTGTAGTAAAAAATAAAATTGGATTAGGAGGATATAACTCTAGTTAAGATATATATAGTATTGTATATATTATAAATCTTTTGAAAAAATGAAAGTTAGGATCCTATAATCTAGTAGTCTAGATATCTAACTCTTTATGAGAACAATTACTTTAAAAAACCAAAAAACTATACAGTCAGACTTCTCTAAATAAGTGCATACTCTTGAGACCACACTTTAATAATATATATATAGAGAATAATAAGAAATAGTGCATTTATAGAGATCAAATATATAATTAGGCCAGCACTTGTGTGTGCATTTAGAGAGGGTGTATACTTATAGAGGGTGCACTTAGAAAGGTCTAACTGTATACAGTATACAGTATATAACAGATAATAAATATTAATTTTTTAAATATTATTTTAAATATTACCAAGAGAAAAAAGCATATTAATTAAAAATATTTTAACAATTATTTAATTAAATTTAATAAAAATTTTTATTTGAATTTTATAAATCTGTAGAATTTAATTAAAAAAATTTTTATATTAAATTTTATTGAGCGGTTGTTAAGATATCTTTGTTTAAAGGTTTAAAAAATTTTATAGTATAATACCTTTTTTCTCTTAAGATTATTAATACAGTATATGCAGTCAAACCTTCCTAAATGCAACCTCTCTAAATGCATACCTATAAAAAACCTCCCTAAATGCATGTCTTTTTTTTGGGCCCAACTAATATAACATTTATCTCTCTAAATGCATTATCTCTCTAAATGCATATTCAATTTTTACTATGGTCCCAACCAGCGTTGGTCACCTTTATAAGTCCAGTAATTTGAATTGGAATTGGACTTACTGTATATATTCCAATTGAAATTTATAAGTCCAATGTTCCAATTTATAGGTCCAGTTTAACAAAGTTGTCCAATTGCCCAACACTGGTCCAAACACAATGCATTTAGAGAGGTCTGACTGTAGCTTTATAATTTTTATCAATGAACTACAAAATGCTAAAAAAAATATACGTTATACTGTATTTAAAATTAAATTTATATATAAATTTATAAATAAATTAAAAAACTTTTTACGTATTAAGAAAATTTATAGATATACAGTATTACCATAATATATTTTGTCTAATACATACAATACTATATATATATATATATACTTATGTCTTTTAAAAACATTAGTTAAAAACTAAAATTTTATTTTATTTTTTAAAAAAAAATAATAATTTCTTAACAGTATATATATTATCAACCTTTTTATATACAGTTATTAATCAAAAGGTAATTTTTCGAAACTACGGAATTTAAAAAAAAATTGGGTTGAATATATTTTTTTTCTAAGGTAATGTTTAACGTTAAAAAAAAGTAATTTTTAATTACGCATTAGCGTTAACACAAAGTGTTAGAAAGATTGATATACATTTTTAATCAAATAAGACAATTTTATAAATATTTATAATTATAAACAACTATTTTTTTTTTTTTTATTGTTTTACAATAAAAAATTCATCATTTTCATTACTGTGTTTTTTTTAAACATTGTTAAATAATCAGTCTTAAAGAAACTTTTTTTCTTAGAAATTTTCTGGTTAAAAAAAAATAATAATAATAATAATTAGTAAATATATAATCATGATTTAATTCAACGTCAAATTTATAGGAATTTTTATAAAACCAACCTTTTCCATAGAAAAACCTTGTTCCGTCTTCAAATCCTTGACTCCATAAATTACTTTTTTCATGAAGTGTTTTTCCAAGTGGTACTGGACCACAAAAGAATACACCTACATCAGTAGCTGGATATTGATCTCTCATATTTGAGTAAATTTTATCCCAATTTGGACGTCCAAAATGAGTTGGAGCTCTAAGACCTGTAATAGTATCTTTTATATTACCATCATCATTTACGAGAATATTTCCTACTTCTGAATGACGCAATCTGCCAGTTAGATATGTATGAATTTCAATAAATTGTTCAATATCTTGTTCTTCAAGTGCTAACAATAGCGATTGGAACCATTCGAAGGACTTTAAAAAAGATTTAAAATTGATATTAATATATTGAATAAATTGAAAATATTGATACATTGTATATTTAATTTTAAAAAAACTTACTTCATAATCACGACAAATCCAGAAGAAGTATACTTTACGAAGCTTGGTAGATTTTTTTGGATAATTGACACGATACCTAATATATTTAAAAGATAATAAATTAAAAATTAATATTAAATTAATTTAAATAAATAAATAATCAAATAAATAAATAATTAATTAATTAATTAATTAATTAAAAGAAACTTACCAAATACTCTTAAGAACACTAGCAAATGGAGTGACACCAATACCAGCACCAACAAGCATAGCAACTTCAAATTTGAAAACATCCTCAGAAGCACTACCAAAAGGACCATCGATCATAACTCTCGGTAGAACTTTTAATAATTTAGGATTATCAGAAGAAATATCAATACCATCATATTGACTTTTTATACGATCTCTATTTTTTTTACGTAAAGCAGCTTCTTCTTCAAAATTACAACCAAGTTTTTTAGCCAATGCTTCAGTAAAATCACCAACTACACGAATATGAATTGAAATATAATCTTCTTCAGGAGCAGAAGTTAAAGTAAATGGATGCCATTCCCAATAAGATACTTCAGGACAACATAAAAATATATATTGACCAGCTTTTGTTGCGACATTTTTTTTAATTTGAATTTCCACAACTTTAGAAGGATGCATAACAACTTTTGAAATATAAGTTTTTTGTTGAGCACGTATTTCTCTTAAAATACGTTCACTAATATAAACAACACCAGAAGCGATCCAATATCTCCAAAATACAGCAATATCATTGCAATAAGGAGGACGATCAGGTTTAATCATGCAGAAAGCACCATGAAAAGACCAAGCACCGAAGAAAGGAATGAAAAGATGGTGAAAATACCAAAATCTATTAAAATGACGACGTCTAGCTTTTTCAGTAGCGGTAAAAACCATTAAAAATAAAGAGATTAACATAACATAACCAGTAGCACCAGGACCAGTAAGGAAATTAAGTTCAAGCCACATAACAATTCCACCATTTTGAGCACGAGCAAGTTCATAAAAGTTAATCCAATGAGCAACAGTATGAACAATAGTGAAAAATACTATTGACCAACCAATAGCTTTATGAAATTCCAAATTTTCATCAAAAGGAATAATACCACCCAAAGGAGTAGAACGAAGTACAGAAATTAAATTTCGACAAACAGGGAATAAAATCATAGCAGCATCAACATGTAAAACTAAAGCAGCAGAACGAGCCAATGTAAAAGTAATTCCAAAAACTTGTCTAGCAGTGACAAGATCATCACTAAAAAAATAATTGAGGAAGGCCATAACAAATACAAGAGCATGAAGGAATATCCATACGAAAAAAAATATATTTCTACCACCTAAAAAAATTTTATTAAATAAAATTTATTAGAATAACATTAAAACATTTGAATAAAATATATTATACATTAGTAATAAAAAGTATAATAAAAAAAATTTACCTTCGTTAATCATCCATGATTGAAATTTTTCAGTAAAAGTAACAGGTTTTTTAGCAGTTATACTTGAATTAAAACCACTAGTAGGATCAAACCTATCAAGTTTTGGTAATTGCTTAACGGAATCACCTCTTGCAAGTTTCCTAAGAGAGTCACCACGTACAACCTGACCAACATCAGTTTTCCTTTGTGAAGTATATCTATGAAGAGCGACTTCTTCAGGATATAATATATTATCAGGAGCACTAGTAATCTCTGTTGAAAAACTTTCTCTATTCTCATCATAATCGGAAAGAACTCTATTATCACCACCACTAGAGTTTCCTTTGTACGGATTATAACCTGGAGCAGAAGTTTCCAAATTTCTAGGGCTACTCATTTTTTCTTTTTATTATTAAAAGGAAGTGGTATATATATATATTTTTCTCTTACAAGGTGATTATTTTATTTTGAAGAGCTCAAACAAAAAATTTACAAAGCTCGGCCAGCCGAGAAAGAGAGAGTATCGTAAAAAAAAAGTATAGGATTTTTAGGACAAGGAGTTATTTTTTTATTAAGAAAATGAATGAATAAATTAATAAAAGAATTTTAGAGAAACAAGGAGTGAAGACATAATAAATCATAATAAACGTAACCACTCATATTCAATAGCCAAGAGGATTAAATATAACAAAAATTTGATTGTATATGGAGAATCGTTCCCTTACTACTAAATATAGTTGGTTGATACAAGGAGAATATACATAACGTTTTGCATTTGTACTTTTAGTGTACCATATGGGGCATTTTAAAAAAATAACCTTGTGGTCATTTAAAAAAAATTCCGCATCATACGATATCTAATATCCGACACGTTTAGCATTACGTAGTAGTTAGCAGTTAGTAGTTAGGGTTAACTTGAATGTCAATATGTCACTGTCATAACTAGAGGTTGGAACCGGTTTTAAATATTCGAGTTTATCACATCAAAATTCGAGTTTATCACTCCAAAATTCGAGTTTATCACATCAACCATTAATAATTGATGTGATAAACTCGAATTTTGGAGTGATAAACTCGAATTTTGATGTGATAAACTCGAATATTTAAAACCGGTTCCAACCTCTAGTCATAACAGTAACTGTCATACTGTATATCCGATAACCTTAAATCCGCGGACTAAATTTAGGGATATTAATCTCGGGCAATACCTTTCATACAGCCGAATTTTTTCTTTTTTCTTTTTTTTTAAACGCCAATATAAATGAACCAATCATCACTAATATTATAGTAATTTTTTTTAGTGGATTCATAAACTACCAATAAAAAATAACTAAGAAAATAAAACCGCTTTCCCCTAAGTTTGAAAAATTTCGAACTTTGCGATTATTTTAAATATTTTTTTAATTGATATTAATTATTATTACGTTAATTTTAAGCAGAAAATTTTTTTAGTTTATAAAGTTGCCGAAAATTATCCGAAGTCTGTTACAACCATCTAAGATATTCAATTATTAGTGTTAGCAGTTAATAAAAAAAAAAAAAGAGAAGGAAGTCTATTATCATGTAGGTGAGGGTGATCATTATGAATATTTTTAATCTGATACAATTTTTGCAGTAAACTGATACAAAAGCGGTATCAAAAACTGTAGTTAAGGAAAGTTCACATTATTTCTAAAATTCGAGACTTCTAAGAATTTGAGTTCTTTACGAACACCTTCGTTCTTAGAAGTAATTTAAGGTTGGTAGGAACATTTTCCGAGCCCATAAAAAATCATAATAAATTAAAAAGATCATAATAAATTAAAAAAATTCCAATAAATTAAAAAAATTCCAATAAATTAAAAAAATTCCAATAAATTAAAAAACTTCCAATAAATTAAAAAAATTCCAATAAATTAAAATTAAAAGAAAAAGGTTTTTTTAGAAAATAAATAGAACAAAATTTGGAAAAAATAAAGCATAAATCGTAAAATAAATAAAGATTTTCGTATCACTAATGAATATCATGAAAGTCAAAAATGAAAGAATGATGTATTAGATATTACGAATGCACCAATTCTTTTGAATCTAAATAATTGGAAAAATAGAAAATCCGATTGACAACAGCTGATGTTTATTCAACAAGAAATTAAAAAGGAAATACAGTAATTGCGAGATCTATAGAAATTTTTACGTTCTTTGTGTAAAAGAAAAAATTGGAGGAATGAAGTTATTAAACACATTTATAATTACCAGTATAACGACAATAATAAAGGTGAAAATAAAAATAATAACATTAATTAAAATTTTTACAAGCCGGTATCATATGGTCAACTAAATAGTTACAATTAAGAAATAATGTACCACTGAAGATCAATGGTTAATATACTGGTGCAGTTGTTGGTGACTTCAGGATTGGATTGCATGAAAAAAGATGTTTCAAAAGAAAAATCGATCGATTGCCAATTTTGGCTGGTTACCTATATTAAAAATCATTAATAATTAAATAATTAAAAAAAAAAACTTTTTTACGTATTACCTCAATGGAATAAAAAACATGTCGATCATGAATTTTAATATTATAATCATTAAGGTATTTTATGTTTCAAAAAAGAAACATCAATGAACATAACATAAATAAATGAACATAAATGAACGATCTATTATTGTCCATTTGTTTTAGCACCTTATTTAATTAATATTTTTTTAGCACTTTTTTCAACTAATACTATATCAAGATCAGTACGTACGTATATGAATACGGATCTGGGATACGGAACTAGGATATAATAGGTTAATGAAAAATATTTTTCAGTATGAAAAATTAAATACGATGAAAAATTAAATACGATGAAAAATTAAATACGATGAAAAATTAAATACGATGAAAAAT